CCTAAAAAAGAAATTTCTGAGGATCTGAGGGATTTGCGGAAAGAGTTTTTTTACAGTTGCAATATTAGTTCACTTGATATATTCCGATATATATATATATATATATATATATTTAATAACCCTATTCAGATTAGGTATGTATACTTTATTAAATGTTCATATACTGTACATTTTAAATGATTCGCTAAAGCTAAGACTTTATCTAACTCACTTGTCACTGTTTTAACTTAATATATCAAAACTCTAAGTGTCACTTTGGAAGTAATTTGGCACTTCGTTAATGGTTCAGATGAATACCCTTCCAACCTTTAATATCATTGCCCGCAGATCATCACTGCATATTCAGATATTTATATATATATATATATATATAATTCATATATACAATTGCTTCCAAAAGTTTGAGTTCATTTACTATATTTTTATTATCAATTTCAACTTTAACAATTTTTAAATCATTAATTATATAGCTAAAAATTATAAAATTTACATATATTATGTCTTAATACTTATTTTATTTCTTATATATTTTTAAAAAAATTTTTATTAATACATTTTAAAGTTTTATTATTGCTAAATATCTTTATTTTTTTATTAATTATTATGTGATTTATGAGAACAGCCAATTAAAAATTTTCAAAAGTAATGATTTGACAAAGGAAGAAATTTTTTAACAATAATAAATCTTTAAAAATTACATAGAAAAATTTTTCTAAAAAATATAATAAATAAAATTAGTATTAAAATATAATATATATGAATTTTATAATTTTTTGATTTTGTTATCCCTTTTACAATGAGTAATAAAATATAAATTAAAATCAATCAAAAAAAGTCTTACTGCATATACAGTCTATCACAATTAAGGATTTCAAAGTAAACGGTGAAAGTAGACTTTTTTCGTAAAATTGAATGGATGGGATAGAATGAGATGGTTTTAACGTTAAATCATTTCTTTTTGTTTCTTGAAATTTTTTTCATTTTTCTTATTAATAAATTTATACAGAAAATTTGAAAAGAAAATTTTCATTTTTTCCTAAAACATTTTTTTTTACTGTATATTCTATGTTGATAACAAGTGACGAGAGTAACAAAACGGAGTCTTAGCCATTAAGCTGCTACACATTGCTCGTGGCTGAGGGCTGTCGAAGGCATACGGTAGTGACATCTGGAATTTCATTTTTTTTCCAAAAATGCTAACCGAAATAATCTTGCCCCCCTTCCCAGATTATGCATGCAGTACTAATTGATATTGGAACAAAACTTGCCGTGCACCGTACGTACAAGTAATTTTCATTGCGGGCTTAAAAAAGATAGCTCGGTGTCGAACCGTCGGTTCAATGGCTCGTTTTCCACGCCTTGTGAAAAAACAGCTGGAATTGAATTACACAAGAGTCAAATGCGGAATGCGCAGTATGTACACATACATAGGTAGCATTAGCTCATCACATTCAAGGGAAACAAATAACAATTCGACATAGTCAAGCCAAATTACACGAGAAAAAATAAGGCATGAACACAACAGGCTCGGCAATTCTCCCGCGCTTTTTCGATGTTATACAAGTGTATTTATTATGCCAAGATCTACAATCTAAACTTATTTTGTGTGTTTACGATTCTTTCCCTTGCATAATTTAAGGAACGTAAATACCAAAAAAAGAAACAACCGTTTCGGTTAATTCGACGTTTTTATTTGGTTACTTACTCCCTACATGCAATAACATTCATGTGATCACTTATCAATTGTCCAAATCTGGCTAATCAGGAAGTTCGCCTTCACCAGATTCACAATTTCGGCTCGACCCTAAACATTCAACACGTGGTCACGTTATGTCGAAATGCACACCAGAAATCTTTGCATTTTTTCTTTTGATGAATGATACTGCGAATAAAAGGATCTCTTTTTTTTTTTTTTTTTTAACGCTATTCGATGTCACGTAAGAATGTAGGCAATGACACACTGGTAGGTCAATTGACCCTATTTACAAAAACTCGTTATCCTATTCCATGCGCATATCAAATTTATATGAATTTTCGGTGCGCCCCCCCCCAAAAAGAGAAGGTTCAGTATTACTGCCTCGGATCCGATAATTATTATTTATACCAAAAGGATCTTCACTATGGGTGGGAAATAAATCATGTTGGAATCGAGGCAATCGAAGATGATGATGACGCCTTCCTACCTTAACTTAGGAAAATGTATTCCATTGGCATCATTTGATTATCGTCCTTTAACAAAAATATTTCATCTGCATCGATACCAGGACTGACCACACTTGTTTCCCAATATGATGTGCCAAAAGTTGCATCATATGCCTCCTTCAGCCATAAAGGTATCTCTCCGTCATTGTAGATCCAAGAACTTTGAACTATCTCTAACAGCAGGTCATAATTATACTGCACACCATTGCGGGACTGATTGATCGTGGTTCCCTTATTGTATAACATATATATATTCGGGCTTTGCAAAAGCGATTTTCTTTCTACTATCAATTGAGCAAGGAGGTCGCGGTCAATTTCGCTCTGAATGGAACTTTGATGTGATGAGAACTCGCATAACATGGATTGACGAGTTGATGATGGTAGCATCCCCAAAGAAGATGCAGTCTGATGTTGTTGCGAGTTATTAGTAGTGATGGGTGCGGTCGTTTCAATAGCAACATCATTACTGATTATTGGGGATGTGGTGGCTGAGGCTGGTAACGATGATGATGGTTCTTCGGATTGATCTCGTCGTTCCAAAGATTCATCAATAGATTCAAGAGACCCTTCACTATCTTCCATTGATTGTGGAGATTCTGGAGGAGAAGGCACCTCCAGGAGAAGAGGCTGTGACATATTTTGAGTCGAAGTCTCATGCGAGGAAGTAGTCACCGCAGAAGCGGCTGGTATAAGAAGAGAGACGTCCAGGCAGTCGATCTCCATACCCTCCCGCTTTATGTTTACTTTCTCGAGGTCATAACGTTCCAGTTGACTTATCAGTTTGTTTTTAACACCCTCCTTCGGTAACCCACGTTCTTAATAAGGAAAAGTCATAAATAACAAAGCCAAAGCAATACAAAAGCCATAGAACAAATGCACTTACCCATACACATAGCTCGTAGTTCGTGAACCTTCTTACCCGTATAAGCCATTATTTGGCGAGAATTATTTAAATTTTTAAAGAAATCAAAATACGAGAGGAATTGGTGGGCGTAAAAATTAATGATCGCGAAATGTATTTTTTTTTTTTTTTTTTTCACGAGACAAACAACCCTTTTTTAATGCATGTCTCATGACAGCCAAGGTATGACAACATGAAGATCACACAAAAACTTATCCCATTTAAGGAAATGAGTATCGACCAATCGCCGTCGTGTGACATAATTCATGCCGCAGCCAATGACGTTTATGGCGTACATACATAAAAGAATATAAAGAATGCAATTTTGCCTATTTCCCACGAAGTCTTCATTTATATAACTCCTGCACGGAACCGTTAGCCGCAACAAAAAAAAAAAGTTTTTAAATGTCCAGATTTTAGGGTTTTAATGCCTTAAAAGTGAATAACGGCATCTAGGCGAGGACTTGGCTCCAAAAAAATGCGCTATAGAGACAAAGAAATGATATTTTCATGTAGTCGGGGTCGGTGCACATGAAAACCATTACTATTATTATTATTATTATTATTATTATTTAAAGAAAAATGACACTATGTGCAGATCACATATAACACCGCCTTTATGATTCATTATTTGTTTATGCAACTTGGGACATAAATGGCAAATTATTATCAGGATGTGATACATCTTAATTAATCGTCGTGCCTTTGGAGGTAATTAGACGAAACGAACGGATGTCTCGTAATGTTCTCTCGGTCAATGAGATTGCTTGTCGTCCAAATTAGTAAAAAAGACTACGTGCTCTTCATGTGTTAATCGAGATTAGTTCTCACAATGAGCATTGAGGATTCATCCTCCGGGACGTATTCCGATGTCGGACCAACGACAGTCGGTAATTTACTTATCTTCTATCTCTTGTGCTCCGGCGGACTTGACAGTATTGTTGCTGAGAAGTTAGCCAGCTACTTTGTTGTCACGTGACACCCTTAATATCGAGCCGATTCATAGTCATGCAAGCAATTGAAGGGAGAAAAAAATGTTGCCTTAATTTGGTGGTGTTCAATGAAGTTTCACCCAGTAAATTAAAAAATTGGTAGCTTATATTCCTGCATAAAAGTTGTGTCCGAGGTACCGTGTATTTTATTCTTCGCTTATTATGGCCTCGTTACATTTGATTGGCTTGGCACTACCCCACGTTTTCTAAATATCGAATGGTCATTACACAAGATGCCCAATATTATTTTTTCCTAAAAACAACAACCAGTGGATGTTGTTTTCACATTTCCAAATTGAACGGCAATAAATGATTAATGTCGTACACCAATTTCATTGTTGGATGTACCAAAATATTGGAAGTCTAGAGTTTTCTTTGTTTACTTATCCATGCAAACCTTAATACATCAATTTAAAATGCTATTTACCATTTGATTTTCAGTTTGCATTTCTTACGATGCCAATTTGGTATTGCCCGGAAAATTTTTTCGTCCCATCGATCCGATAATCTTTTTTTCCTACGGGAACCATTCCTTTTGAGCAAAGCCTTTTAATTCCGTGAGCCGATAGTTTCCTATACAAAGGTCATTCGAATTTCACGTTTTTTGTGCTCCGTGTCATCAAAGGAAATCAAAAAAGGAATTCGCATGTGCATTTTAACACGTGATGTCGGACGACGATGAGGTAACGGAGTTTCGTAAAACATCAAACCGTGCGACGGTTCTGGAGCCTTCCAAAAGGAATGCTCATTCAGCCACCTTATCTAAGGTGAAGTCCTCTCAAGACGTGCGGTTAAATAATCGGCTACCGCCAAGTTAACAAAATGTGATTTTTCATTCCTCAAAAGTCAGTTGTCAAAATGTTCCCCTTTCCTCAGGAAAGTAAGTGAGCGGGTTGATGATATTCTTTTATTGTTATCGGAAGAAAGGAAGGCCCGTAAGGGTTGATGCATTTCGTGGGAAAAACGATTATATTAGTGGACGATTATTTCTAAAAATATGAATCATCCATGAATAATTCCGTGATTTCCGAAAATAAACCAGATCCTTAATTAATTATCTTGCGTTTAAATAAAGAGAACAGGTTGCAATCAAGCATACTTGCTTTAAGAAGAAATTTCCACGGTTCAGGTGATCGTCATGAAATAATACTTTCATTCGAAGGATACGGGATCTCTTTGCAAAAAATCGACCTGTCAAAATGGCAATGTCGCGTACCTGACGTATTAAGGAACCGTGAAAGGCATGTGGGGGTTCCGGGAACTGTCACATGATCAAGTGCAGGAGAAAAAAGAATTCAAGATTAAGAATAATGGCGCAGGAATCGAGCTATCCATGATTGTGCTAGATGTCTTTTTCGTCTCCCAATTCCAGTTTGAATTAACACCTGAATCGAGAGATCCCTGACCGACCATTTGACAAGGCGCCAGATCTCACATCCTTTTTGACGATAATTGTGAAAAGAACTTCCATTTAAGAATTCGATCATGTGACTTTATTGGGAATTTCATATTATTCCAGGACATATTGTCTCTCTGGTTTGATATGTGCTGGTTATGTCATTGGAAAACATCTTAACCTAAATTAGCAGAGGACGCCTGAAATCAGGTATAAACCTGCCACCCACCTTCGTATTTTATACGCTGGAATCGGGAAAAAGGTGACATTCTTATCGATGAAGGTGGCATCCGTCGTATGACTTCTTGTACCACGGGGGGGGAGAGATTTTTTTTTTTTTTAAAAAAAAAAAAAGCGAGGGAGGTTTGAGTGGAATTTGGTGACACCACATGTGGTCGGTCTGGACGTGATTATCACATTGTCCTACAAAGGTAAGTGGGCGCGAAAACCTATGACTAAGATAGAGTTGTAAGATCATCCAACGTGGACGCGGTCCCACCATATTTTGACAAACAATTGTCGAGTTGCTGGCATTTTACCGTTGGTAGGCTAAAAAAAAAAAAGGACATACACACATATATATGCATACACGGATACATATATGTATATATATCGTATATATGCAGTGCGTACGTGCATATTCAAGAATACATTTATATCGTTTATATCACCAGGACCGAATGTGTGATAGGTTCCCAAGGTTCATGGAAGAATTAGATCCGGAAGATGTTACTTTTAAATATTCTCCATTACACGAAGGGCATATGAATTCGCGTGAATTTCGAGTGCGGTGATCGCGATAAAGTCGCACTTGAACGATGTTAGATAACAAATGTGTGAACAAGTACAATATCCCTCTATTGTTTTCCATATATCACGGATCGTAACATTAAAAAAAAAACATGTCCAAGATTTTCAACCTCGCTCTCCTAGTGGTTAGGACTATGCAGTTGTGTGTACAAGCATAAGCATCGTACTCGTATTCACAACAAATATCTGATGCGTCTGGGCCTTGGGGAATGCACGTCTATCTTTCGTCCAGCATCTTTGATTACCTATCCTATTTCGATTAGTTTAATTGCGTTGAGAAAACTGTCGATTATTTGCGTTTCTAAAAAAAAAAAAAAAGAACTTATTCAATACATGGAATGTCAGTCATCCTTCGTCCAAATGAACATTTCACTCACAAGAAGGTCCCTCCAAAGATGGGAATTAAACACTCGTCGTATAGGCCTCAGGTTCTCTTTTTTTTTTTTTTTTTTTTAGGTGGTTCATTAAAAAAAAGGTTATGCGCTTGTACTTATTGTCCTATTATTATCGTGTCTTTATTAGTATTTATTACCATATCACCTATTAATCTTATAAGTATAAATAACCTACTGAAACAATTTACTAAGCTAGTCTGATTTAGTGATTCGTGAAATTCTATTTCTTTTGTGTCTGATGTGGAAAAAAAAAGAAATATACACATGGAATAAATGCTTAATGTACTGTGGTGCTTTTATTACTATTCACTAATTGCAATACACATACCAACTTTTAATCATTATAAAGTTTAAGTCGAGAGGTTGCACCAATATCACCAGTACGACACGTTTAGAGTAATATAGTAATAATGTGAGTGGATCTGTTGGATTTTAAGGTTTGATTTCGTCATCAGTTTATATATTTAATTTATCTGATTTGAATTTTGCTTAGAATCAGAATAATAGATAATGTTAAACATCGTCCCTATTGTTCAATGTCCGTGGCGGGGTGGTGGCGTTTTTCTCAAGATTTGACCCCTCCTCAAAAAAAAACTACTTTCATGACTTCAGGTCTTTTAGAGCTGTTCTTGAACAAAACTAAGAGTGACTCTTTAGCTTATTTCCTAACTTAAGTTTTGCCTAAACGAGTATCACATTTCTTTTGTATCAAAGAGAGAAAGAGGGGAATTTTGTTCCTTTATTATCATTTATTATTATTATTATTGTTGTTGTTATTTTTGGTAGTAAGTGTACAAGCATATTTGGTAAATAAGTAGAAGAAAAAGGAAAAGAAGAGACGAAAACAGGAAACATGCCCGCTACTCGAAAACACCTTCATATCTCTAAACCACGTCGTCGCCAGAGGTCTGTGAGTCTCACAACTCGGGCCTCACGTTGCGGCGTAAAGAATTATGTCAACGTCCTCAAGAGTGCTCACCCCACCGTCGAGTTGTTCTTCCCTGTGACCAAGCAATACTTGCAAGAGTATATCGACGCAAAGAAGAAGCAGGGGACCATCAAAGCGAATTCCCTCGACCAATACTTTCAACACATTGAAAGTTATAACATGGCCCTCGGACATGGTTGGGACTCGCAAGAGTTCGAGCCCATGATGCGTGAAGTCTTGGAGGCTTTGGTTCAGAACGAAGAAAAATGCGGCCTCACACGTAAGCCGTCGACATCCCCTGAGGAGGAGGAGGATGAATTGAGTCACGAGAACCCGACTGGTATCGTATTATCCAAATGAGAAAACCGTTTTTTGATTTAATTCGTTGGAAGAAATGAAAGGTTTGAATGTATTTTTAAAATTCGATCTCTTTTTTCTAGACCCTTCGGTACCCACGATCCCCCTCGTTTGCTTCGACATGGCTCACGTTCCTGCGATGAAGCTCGAGCGTCAAATCCATGTTCCCACCTCAAATGTTGACCCTAACGCGGAACCTAATGTCGCGCTTCAACAATTATACCAAAGTATTGTCAGCGTCAAGCTCCCAAAGAAATGGGGCAAGGTGGACCCCACCAATGTCTACTTTCGCAACAGCACATGGAAAGATGCTCCTCACTTCATGCTTGATGAGGATACCTTCAAATGCTTCTGGGAAACTTACACCAATCGACGGGAAGGCGAGGAAGTGCAACTGATTGTATATTCAAAACAACGAAGTGTCACCCCAGGTAACGATTCAACTGTCTTTTGTTCTTTTCGTAATTCATTCATTGATCTTTATTTGTTATTCGTAAAAAAAGTTCCACCGATGGCGATTCAACCTGCACCACCGATGATGCCGGATACCGAGACGATCGCCGCATCATCTAAAGCACTCGCGACCCCCCTCACTCCCCGAAAGAGTCCACCACGGCTAGAACAAATTCCCGGTCTTGATTTCAGCTCAGGAGGGGGTACGCGTAATTTACCAGGTTATATGATTGATCGACGATTTTTTCATGGTTGTAACCATCTGTTGTCATCCATCACTGTAGAGAGTTCAACACCCTCGCCTACGTTCATACAACTCAAGTCAGTCACCGTTCGATCTCCTAACCGAATTTATAAACAAAACATTGCCATCACCGATAAAACTACTTTTTCATCGCTTTTATCGTTTGCGATAAAAAAACAACCACCACCCGGTAAACAATTTGTTTTGCAAAGTGCGGACGGTGAATTAGAGTACATGCCTGAGGATCCCGTGAGAAATGTGATTCACGGAACCATTCATGCAGATGTTGTCGTCAAAGTAGAGGACATAAGGGAGGTTGACTTTAACCAATTTTAAAAGATCTAGAGTCTTGATTTTCCGAGTGTAGGCCTATAAATTATTTTTTACTTGGCGGTGAGAAAGGATTGTTGCATGATGTTCTCCTGGAATCACAAATATTTTGATTTTCCGGGATCCGGCTTTGTACAGATAAAATTTTCCTTCAATGAACAATTTCTTTTTTTTTTTTTTTTCTCAGTCCATTTTATTGTTTCTTTGCTTTTCTGTCAATTTCTATTTGCCAATTGCTGTTCGGATGTATGCATGTTTTGTTGTCAGGATTTCGCATTTCATCGAATGACTGTTAAAAAAGAGATAACTTGTATTGAAAATCGAATCAACTCATGCTTTGCTTTAGCTAAAATAAATGAGTTAGTTTTTTTTTTTTTTTTCTTTTTCTTTTCTAAGATAGACTCGAGGTAATTTCCGTAATCTCGCCTATATGAATAGACAAATTTTTAGTAGATATAAATTTTATAATAGTAATTTAGTAAAATTTTCAAATTAGAAATCGAAAATCGACAGAAATTTAGGTTAGCTTGTTTCTTCTGATCACACTTTGTAGTATAATAATATATAACAACTGGATAAATACTGTATATGGACGTACACTGTACATTTTAACTGGCATACTGTCAAAAAAATTGTGGCTTTTCAGGGTCATCAGGTCAATAAATTTCCGATTTTTTTTTTTTTTTTGACATTTCACCGATCACCAATGCTTTTGGTGATACCTCCGAAGGTGTATGTGTTAAGGAGTCTTGGGTCGTTTGTTACCGGTTTTATAGTTTGTGCGCAGTTGGGCACGTTCTGAGAAACATTTGCTTGACCACATGAAGCTAGCATATATGCATTGAGGCTTGCACAAGGGAATTGGTGGATCACGAAATTACTCGCGAAGAACGTGCTGAGAATTAAAAAGAGACATTTCAATCTTTACGCCTTTGGTCTTTCTACATAAATTTAGGCATCGTTTAGGGAATTTTCTTAGGAAAAATCAACTATTTTTAGTTTCCCACGGAAACCTACCTTTCAAGATTTTCGTGTAACGTGATGTTGCACTGACCAACTCAGGATGTGAGATCATCTGGTTTTACCCGCAAAGCCTTCTCGCATCACATCAATTTTCTTGATTAATCGTCGACAGTCGATTGGCCGAATTACCCGTGTAGTGCAACGGATGATTATACTATTATTATTATTATATATATATATTTTAATTTTAATATTATTTAATTATTCAAATTTAATTATTATTATTATTATTCAATTATTTATCAAATACAGCATAAATATTTTGTTTATTATTATTGATTATTATTACTTAATATGTTAATTCTATTTATTATTAAATATTTTTAAAATATATTATGATTTTTCCGCAGTAGTGATCTGCGGGTGATGATGTTAGAAGTTGGAAGGGTTTCCACCCAACTACTAATGGAGTGATAAATTACTCCCAAAATTGTACTTGGAATCCTAGATAAATATAAGACTTTGATGAGTGAGTTAGTTAAAGATTTAGCTTTAGCAACATATATATAATGTATAGCTTACAATTGTTTAATAAAGCATATATAACAAGCCTGACAGAGGATTATAATTAAAAAAATATATATTGTGATTTTTTTTTCTTTTTTAATAGTTAGTTCAATTTTATTTATTAATATTAATATAATAATATTTGAATGAATTTGTAAAGATTATAAGAAAATATCAAAAATATGATAAATTTTTTAAAACTTAATAATTTATTAAATTTCATATTATTATTAAAATAAAATTAAAAAATTCTACAATAATAAATTATTAAATAATTTAAATAAAAAAATATATATATATTATTTTCATATTATATTTAAAGAAAAGTTAACTTTAATAATAAATAAGTAAAATATAAAAAACTTATACAGTAAATACAGTATCTATAAATATTACATAGATTTATATATTATTAATTAATTCTTAAAAAATTCAATTTTAACTTTAAAGTCTTAAAATTTTTAAATTAAATAATCTATTTTATATTATTAATTCTTTAATTTTTTAAAATTAATTTAATAATTACAAATAAATTTGAATGAGAATCAATATTTAGATTATATTTTTTTTGAAGAAACTTTTTAATATAAAAAATTGCTAAAAGTATAATATTACTCAATAATTTATAGAATCAAATATTTTTAAAAAGTTGATAAATTAAATTTGAATTTTTTTTTATTTTATTGTTAAAAAATTGACATACTTTAATAAGACAATTGTGAAGAAATTTAATTTTGAATTTCAACTTTGATACTTTAAAATTTTTTTTCAAAAATAATTATTTTACTATAAAAATTAATATTAAAAATATAAAATCCAATTTCCTTTTACTGATTTTTTAAACCATTTCTTCCAACATAATATTCATTAAAAATTTCAATATTCCTATATTAATATAATTACTTTACTTTCATTATACACTTTACAAATATATTACAAAACATCTTTTATTTATATTTATTTTCTCTTCAATTCTTTATTTGACTCAAGTATAATTTTCAAGCCAAAAGTGATTAAGATATATCTAGATTTCTAATGATAAAAAAAACTCTTAGAAAAAAAACTTTTGATTGAAAACTCCTTTCTTTCCACTATAATTAAAACAGACAAGTTTATAAAAAAAGTATTTGCCAAAAACTATATTATATATAATAGTTTTGTTTTTTTAGAAAATTTATTAGACTTTAAATCTTCTTTTATATACAAACAAATTTTCAGTTTTTTTGAAAAATTTTGTTTATCTTCTTTAATCTTGAATTTTTTATTATACCAGATTTACTAAAATTTTATTGATTGAAAAATTGAAGTTAAATAATGCTATTCAGTAATTGAAAGTAAGTAAGACAATATACGTATC